AACTTCACACTGCATCAACTCTATTTTTTTCCCTAAAGGTTCAGAAAGACCCTGCAAGCATCCCTTTCCATCCGAAGGAAACCTAAACTAATTTATTTATATTTGATAGCTGCATCCATCCTGCACTGATATCATAGAAGACTGTTCTAGACTGCTCTTCCTATTTTAAATGCACATGGACAAATCACTTTGAGAACAACGCTTGTTCCATGCTATATATATATATGAATTGCGCATTGCACAGTCTGCCAGCCAAGGCAAGAATTTTGAAATGATTCAAGTGAATGAAATATAATTCCTAATCCGTCTTATCAACGCATTCATCAAAATCCTATAAGTAATAAAAATCTCCAAATACAATTTGGAATAGCTCATTGTGGATAGAGTTTAAAATAATATCACTTACCTTTAGGGATTTTAACTTTGATTTTGTTTCGTAATTTGTGTTATACTGCGCTCGACTTCGATACTTTACGCCGGTTGACTCTTTCGCACGACTCTCAAGTGTGAGTAACTGAAAAGGAAGTAAACAAAGCGCGCGTATTTATACAAGGGTCATTCACAGGCATGGCACGTAGTATAGAATGGACTCATTGTTTCTGGATTCACATTCAGTGCGGGATGAGAACGCTGAGCGGCGAGAAAAAAGCCAAGCGAGTATGAACTCGTATGTCATTGAGCATGCCGTACCAAAGCCATAGATATCTTATATACACTAGATAACGCATCTCTTTTAGTAAAATTGAAGCCAAGAATATTCCAGCGGTTACCCCCATTTGAATAGATGGCGGCCATGTTGGTAGTTCTCACTCGCTAATAAACGCTTAAAAAACAACAATAACTTTCATCATTTGAATAGTTTAAAAATGTATTTGGAGTACGTTTAACTTGATGTTTAAGTTCCCTGTGTAAAAAATAGAAAACATGATATCCTGAGTCTGCAATCACGGCTTCAATTTTTCGATTGCAGAATATGATTAGATGTACTATCTAGTGTATATAAGATATCTATGACCAAAGCCTGTACAGAATAAATGTCCATACAGCAAAAATGTTTTCCAGACAAATTTCAAATTATGTCTTGTTTATCATGTGTTGCTTTTGCTTCCTATAGTTTCTCCGCCTTCTGGAAACATAGCTAGGAAACAAAACGATGTTTCCTGGTTTGTCCACCTTCAGGAAACCTGACTAGGAAACAAAACGATGTTTCCTGGTTTGTCCACCTTTAGGAAACATGGCTATAGCGTGAAACAATATTTCCCTGTTTGTCCAATGGCTAGGAAACAATATTCCCTAGTTTATCCACATTCAGGAAACCTGGCTAGGAAACAAAACATGAATGTTTCCTGGTTTGCCTACCTTCAGGAACATGGCTAGGAAACAATGTTTCTTGATTTGTCCACCTTCAGCAAACATGACTAGGAAACAATGTTTCCTGGTTTGTCAACCTTTGGGAAACATGGTTATGAAACAATGCATGATTCCTGGTTAGTCCACCTTTGGGAAACATGGCTAGGAAACAATGTTTTCTGGTTTGCCCACCTTTGGGAAACGTGGCTAGGAAACAAATGCGGAATGTTTCGTAATTTGCCCACTTTTGCCTTTGGGGACATTGCTTTGAAAACAATGTTTCGTAGTGTGCACAGCTTCTGGAAAGGTTATTTCCTGATTTGCCACCTTTGGGATACATGGCTAGAAAATTACAATGTTAACTCAATAACTAGCTTTCAATGCAAATGCAAGTGAATCTAGTATCATGTTTATGAGTCCATGTTTTGTGACATCTCGTTGGTGACAGCCAAGAGTCTAATATTTCATCATGAAAATTGACGGATATGTTTTAATGCATTCATTAAAATTAATTTCCGTCAATTTAGCCAATCGGTATTTATTATTGCCATCAATATATACATCCTGTGTTTAAAGTAACCGCGGTTGTAATTTCGGGCTATGCCGAGGCGTGCTTTCAATTAGGCTAGCCATGAATGAAAAATGAACCTTGCTTTTGATTATTCAGAAATATTGGGGGCTACAATAATAAGTACAGTTCTAGAGCTTACTATATTTAAAATGGATTGCAAAATTATTTTCCATGGAACTCCAAGTGAGAATCATCCCGTATTGATCCAGTATTAATATGGAATGAAACCTAAAAAGCTAAACTAAACTAACTTTATTTTTACCGGGTAGCTTTAGCTTAGATCTATCAGTTCTAAACTGTTCTCCCTAGAGGTTCAGTATAGAAGATGTCTAATGAGGACATGTCTAATTATTGCTCCAGTATTATATACCGAAGGAGAAGATCTAAATTAACAAGATAAGTCTATCAGTTCTAAACTGTTCTTCTTAGTGGTCCAGCAGTTCCAGTAAGCCCCATCCCTTGTCAGTCTATAAAATACAAAACAAGCGAAACTGCAAAGATCGATAACATTTTTATATTTATCTACGTTTCGACAATATTTCAGTCATCATCAGGATAAACTAGCTAGGTTATACATCAAAAGCAGTATTTTGTTAAAATACTCAGTGGTTCTAAAACTTTTTTTGTCAGTCTATAGTGAGTATTATATACAAGGGGAAATTGTGAACTAACTTTATATATTATGCATACATGCAAGGCTATTCAAGGAGTTCCATGCATCCCTTATATATTGATCCAGTGTTACAAAGGATGAAACCAATGTATCTCGAGAAATCTATGGAAATCAAACTCCGTCACATATCCAAGTTATTGGATATTTTGTGGCCACTTAACCTTTGAGACTATAAAAACGTATTAAAATTTAATTTCTTCAGTGCCAATCTTAAAAATGTTAAAATATTCAAATAACACAGATGTGACGATTTAGTTTCAGCTTTTCGCTTTGGCAAATGTCTCCGAGGGCAAGCGACCTTATATTCAGGTTAAAGCGACCTGTGATTTAAAGATATTCTCAGAAGACTTGAAGGACCTTGAAGGTCAACCAGATACAGATTTTTCGAATTTTAATGAAGAAGACACATATTTGTGCCATATTTGTTACACAATTTCGTTTCAGTCCCATGCGAGAGGAGTACTTTGAGTTTGACTCTGCCAAACAACGAAAGTGTTTCTCTAACCTGTCTGGTTTTCGTCCTGTTATAATACTGCATGGAGCAACAAGAGATGGACCTCTATTGAAAGATGAAACTCATAGAGCTATCCAGTATAAATATAGTTAATGAGTTCATGCAGGTTTCTGTAGACTGTAAAACAACACTGGATCAGCATGTGATGACCTCTGGACAGTAATAATAAACATAGTTTAGTTTAGGTTTCCTCCTGTAGTAACATACTAGGATAAATATATCACTCAGTGATGACCTTACTGGACCTCTATATAGGGAAAACAGTTTAGAACTATAATAGAACTATCTATAGTATAAATAAAGATAGTTTAGTTAGGTTTTCCTGTAGTAACACAGGATCAATTAATATATCACCCAGTGATGATCTTACTGGACTTCTACTATAGGGAGAACAGTTTTGAGCAAATAGAGCTATCTAGTATAAATAAATAAATAAAGATAGACATTCCAGTTTAGGTTTCCTCCTGTGATAACACAGGATCAATATATCACCTAGTGGCAGTGATGACCTTACTGGACCTGTAAGGAAAACAGTTTAGATCTAATAGAGCTATCTAGTGTAAATAAAGATAGTTTAGTTTAGGTTTCCTAGCTCCTGTAGTAACACAGGATCAATATATCACCCATGCAGTGATGACCTTGCTGGACCTCTAGGGAAAACAGTTCATAGAACAGATAGAGGTATATCTAGTTGTTAGGTTTCCTTCTGCATGTAGTAACACATGCAGGATCAATATGATGACCTTACTGGACCTCCAGAAGTTTATTACATTTCATCCGATAAATTTAAATGGGTACTTGGTTGGTCGAATTATACGAAACTATTACGTATTGCCATTCATTTGGAGGCAGTTCGATAGAACTGATAGCTACTTGATGAATGATGGTTACTGGAACTTACCTTAATTCTTGAGACTTAAACTAAACTTCCCCCCAAAAAATTCATTCGACTGCACGCCTACTCCTTATAAAATAATACAGCCTTCAGTCTGAGTCCAATTTGCATTTTATTCATGCAATCAGTGTTATCTTGTTCCGGACATGCATATATAGGCACTATAATATATTAGATCAGTGATCCTGATGGAAATTATTATTAGAAGGGCAGCTTTCCAGTTAAACCTTTTTCATATACGTGCGTTTCTGCACAGAAAACTTTCAACTGTCTAAATTTTATATAACTAGAAGTGTAAATCACCTCGACCAATACACATAATATTACAAACAAAACTAAATTCTGTTACTCCTTTTAAACTTTTCCTATGACAAACGCTTAACGGGAAAGCAGCCTTAGCCAGGCTTAAGATTGTTTATTGCACACCTCGCCCATAACTTAACACGTCTATATTTCTTTTATGTAAATTTAGAAAGTTTTAAAATTACTTTCAAGCGTCAATATGCATGTGATAAATGATAGAAACCAATATTTTTGGTAATGAAGAATAAAATAACTTTCACCTATCTTACCCAGACGTATGTGGACTGTTGTTGTTTTGTCTTTGTGGACGTTTATTTCGCAGAGGTCGATTTATATAGTTCAAACGTCTTACTTTTCATGAACCGAATGCCATGCAATATTATATCCTCAAACAATGTCAATGCATGAGTGTACATCATTAGAGGTGGCACACCTTCCTTCCTATATTAGGACTGCAGCGTAAAACAGGGCGTAAAGTTGACGCATGCATCTGCTGAAGTACACAAGTGTCAGTTCCTTTAAGTTCGCCTTAGCCCTTATACCGTCCTAAATCTTAAAGATGATGTCCACTCCGTTCTGCGCATCAGTTTGAAACGTAGAGTTTATATTCATTTACAAGTATAGCGAACCAGAAAAGTGTTAGATATTCAATTAGTATATCATATTTTACAAATATAGCAGTTCAAAACGTAAACAAAGTTCGCGCATGTGCACAGGAGTTGACAACATCTTTAAGCTCCCCGTCAAGTTGAGAAGCGAGAGTTTTTTCAACGACGTATTGTATAACATTAGCGAGCTTGATCAAGCGACGGGACTGGATTAAAAACTGTGTGTCCGTTTGTAGTAATCTTCAACACATATAACAAAACACAAGATTTTAAAAGTCTTTTTGTTTCCTTAGACGAGCGCTATGGTACAAAATGCCGCCAAAATTAGTTATACCAGTTAGTCCATGTTGACAAAAATGTCGCCTGCTCAAGCTCGTTCATTTACGTGTGAGTTTGATAAACGATATAAGGCACTGTAAGTTATGCAAGTAGCGACTTAATCGAGACGGTCTAAATTATTAGACTTCAAATGAATTGCTCGCACTGTTACATGGGAATGCTCTAACCAAGGGCCGAGGCCCATGGGAATGCCTCGTCGGACACCTTTGAGACCTCGCAAACTTCGTTGTTTTTCATATAAATCAGAAACACAAACTTGACGGCCATGTGCTGTACTATAGAGTATAGTGAGGTTTAGATTTGACTATCACAACCATTAAGGGACCATTAACCAATCAGATGCGTTTAATCTACCCGATTAACCAATCAGATGCGTACTTAGTAAAAGGTAGTGGTAGTCGAATCTAAAGGCTGTGGTGACGGTGTACACCAAACTATATACGTTCAACACAATAGTCCAGAACATTGAAGAACACGAAATATAGGACAGAATTTGAAGTTCTCCATACTCAAAGTCAACTGTATATCAGAGGGGACCTTATGGGCACCTTTTTCATCCCCACACGCCAGACGTTACCTTTGATATCATGATACTCTTCATCTCCATCCTCTTCGTCTTCACTTGTATCAAAATAATCATGATTCTTCAAGATGGCCGTCTTTCTAGGGCTGTGAGGCATTCGTTGTGAGATGGTTGTCTGATCGGAGGTAGTCCCCTCTGGCTAGTCCCTATACAGAAGAATTTGTATGAAATGTTTGAGGGAACGGACTCGATGTTTGACACTGAGTCGCTTCCCTCAAACATTTCTTACAAATCCTTCAAAGCTTAAAATTTACCTATGCAAAATTCCTACTGTGATCACAGAAACTTTGATGGTGTAAACCAGACTTAAACCTCGCTTCTGTTGCACTTCATGAGACCAATTCAAGCCACAAATAACTATAACTACTGCATCAGTAGTCCTGAGCACATACATGCAAGCACAGCTACACATATTAACGTTTGGCAAGATTTTATTATTAGCATAAACCTTGTACAAATCAGAAGATCATTTCATGTGGATATTGTCCTTTTCTCAAACTAAACAAGGTCTTGAGGTAATTCTTCAAATGGGCTTCGTCTGATATTAAAGGAGCGAGTTGTTCATCGACTGATTTTTGGTCTTCTTTGCGTTCATCGCTCACAGTACGTTCCTGGAAAAGAAAGGATGATTTGAGATTAGAATTTTTCCTGGAACCAAATGTGGATTAACCTGGTTTCCAAACTGAAAATCTGGTATTCAAATTCTCAAAATAAAACATGCTTTCAGTCTTTAATTATTTAGTTCCCACAATCTCAAAATTTTACCAAAATGTAAGTGATTTTAGATAATGGTTCTAAGACAGAGTTCAATGTTAACCACAATGTTAACTACACCGTCAGAACAATTAATTCACTTGTGTAGTTTTCTTGATAAAACACATGGAAGTAAACAAGGACACCAAGGTTTCAACATCTGGTATCCAAAATTCGAAACTGGCATAGTATGATACTGCAAATCTCGAACCCTGCTATTACTAGTGATGAATCATTCATTCCCAGTGTAAATTTGGCAATTTATTGCAAAGCCTGCCCCTCCCCCCACTACAGTAGTTATTGCAATGGCCTAAACCTTCACCTCTTTTGCTTCCTCAAACATCTCATCAGTTCGTTTTCGTTGCTTCTTCTCTCGTTTGAAATAATCATCGTCGAGACGCTCTGGCAAGTCAACACCACTGATGTCAATCTTTGTTCGGGTGGCGATCACGTAGGATTGGGGAACACGACGGAGCGGCACCCCGTTCACTTTGTACGGACCTGTGACAAGCAATAGACCACCATCCAGTTGTTTCAGAAACACAACTCTCTGTATAACAGAAAATTTATGAAATCAGTGTGAATCATGATTACGAAAGGACTTTTTCGAATTATGGTTGAATGCCCACAGAAATAACCGAAGAATGAGACTTTGTGTAATGTAGTCATTTCCATCATGAAATCACATACTTTGCCTTGGTGTCGACCAGCCAACAAAATAACCACAGTTCCTGGCGTCAGTGAACTTCGTAGTCTGGTGGGTCTGTCCTTCTTGCGATTGGGCAGCTTCACGCGGGAGTCTTCTGTTGGATAATAACGAGGCTAAAACAATTTAAAAGATTTTACAGTCTATTTCACAAAACCTTTGCCAACATGTTTTCTGAAGTTTGCAAATGTCATTGCAAAGTTCATGATAATATTCACACACCAGTTTGTAAACTAAGTATTTGATTGGCTTTTTTTAATTCATGGCCCAATCAGAGGCTTTGTTTACAAACCAGCTTGTTAATTTCAATATGAACTTCACAACAAAGTTGCAAATTTTGGAATGAAGTTTGGAACATTTTGGTAGAGTTTTGTTACAACCCAGTTCACATATTCTGATAACATGCCTAGTTACCACTGTTCTCATAATGCACTGTAAGCATAAAATGGAACAAAGGTAACCAAGCATTCAAATTATGTGTGTGAGTGACTTGAGTGGCAACATACTAATGTTGATGAGTTTGACCACCACTTATATAACTACTTAGCCTGTACTATATATCTTTACAACAATTGTGATATTACTTTCCTAACTATGTTTATTCAGAAACCTGAGAAAGTCCACACCATTTGGCAGAGTGTTGGCAGACTCTTTTCTGACGACTACGCCATTGAAGCCCAAAATAATTCATCAGATTACCTCTCGTTGAACGGGGACAGTTCTTGTCCCTCCATTTTTGTCGCCACCAATTTCCTTCACTTTGGTTTTAGCGTCTTCTTTGACATCCTTCTTAACACCTGTCTTCTTGCGTTTGTACAGAGCACGCTTTTTGTACATCGCCGAGCGACTGTACTTGCCTATTCCCTTCGTCAGGGGCTCATTTCTCGATTCACGGACTTTTGCCATCTGAAATGAAGTTGTTCAAACTCTTTGTTAAAGGGTCATTCCAGAAAACATCCATACCACCCCCACAGAGGAAATTACCCCCCCCCTACCCCCTTCCTAAAACATTAACTATTTTTTCTCCCCTCCCCCTGTGGACGGCAGAAATTTCCTTGTATGTATGGATCTTTTCTGAAACGACCCAATGTGTCGTATTCCATCAATGCTGCTCTGTCTAATGCCAGTTTTACTTGTCAAGGGGAAGTTGGAAGGTTAACCCTTTAAGTGGCACCCTGATTTGTTATTTTACTCTATCTAAAACACCAGATGACTTTACTCATCAAGGCCAAGGGGAGAGTGCTGCCACTCTATCTGCCGATATGTTGTGCTTAATAAGCCATTACTTTGCAGTGCACTATAAATGTCTCCTACTTCTAACATCAGACAGGTTTACTTGTCAGATTAATGGGTTAACCAGCTTTTCTGCCCTTGTCCCTGAATGCATACACTAACAAACGACTTGCTTCATCTTACTTATAATAGTTTTCGCTTATAGTTTTTATATTAAAAAGTTGTCCCACAATTTTTGGCGATAGTTTTCTACTATAAATGCCTATATTTCAACGACAAATACAACTTTGAGTTTCCTAATAAATGTACATGAATACAGATTAGATCAAAGGCTCAGTCATGTATTTTGCTCTTGTTTCAATCGTATATAATTCGGTCAATACATGGAACGGTTAGCCATATTACAAGCCGAAAATTCTCCCGAAAAATGGTCATAATGTATCACCTAGTTATGTAAATGTGTAGAACATATATCTAATATAATCAGCAACAGAGAAAAAGCTTTAAAATCTTTTTCTTTGCGGCTAGATTACAACGGATTGTAAACACTTTCCACTTTTCCTCACCGTTCTATGTTTTGAACTGGCCAAAAAAGAGAGAGATACGATTGCGCAAGCGCTGATTTTAACATGAAGGTCAGCTGTCTTTCGCGTTGTCGGTAACTGTCGTACCTTTACGTAATTTATCGAACGCCTTATGGCCGATTGGAAATTTGTGTAATTTGGGGGAAAATAGGGAATATTCATAGGAATATTTCATCAGTAAAGTGGAAACACTATTAAAAATAATTCCTGCAGAAGTTAAATTTTGCCCAAAAAACTTCGAAAATGGCCTCATTTTTAAGAGAACATTTGCTAAGAATCGGAAAATTCGTTGCCTTAGCTTCGGCTACAAGTGGTGCGTTAAGTTATGTTAGTTTTTCAACAGTTTTTGCGAAAGAAAAGCGTTCTGAGAGTTCGTTTATGGCCGAGCCAGTGACCCCACGTGAAAAGCTAGTGGCAGGCGATATGAGGACTCGAATGGAACTGATGATCATGCAAATGCAGCGAGAGTTTTGTGATGAGCTAATGCGACTGGATGGATCTGCTTTCAAGGTGGATAAATGGGAGCGGCAGGCTGGTGGTGGAGGTATCACATGTGTTATACAGGATGGTGAGTTCAAGTTGTATACTGTATGCAAATGTAAACCCCCGCACCCCCCCGGCCGGGGCATAGCGGGGTATTTGACTTCCGCCTATGTCAAATGTCGTCAAATGCCCAGCAACACAGGGCAATATTTTTATTCTAATAGCATGAAATACCCCGGTAAAAAGCCTCGGCTCCTTTTCAAAAACTTTTGTTTGGAGTAAGCGCTTAGGCAGGTACAAAACAAAACATCAAAAAGTACGGGGCACTCAAAGAAAGCATACCTCCGCCAGCGAATTAAGTTATATATCATATATAAATTATACAATCAGCTAATTACGCATTCTGTTTACTCTGCCCAGGAAAGCAAGACAAACATTTTCAAACTAATTTCTTATTCAAATGTCATCCAAATTGAACCAAAATTTAATCAGTTAGTGCTGAGGACATGTGTATTCCTTCAACAAACTTTCGTGAATATCTGTTCACTACTTTTTGAGATATTCTGGTTACAGCCGGACAGACATCCAGACAAACAAACAGGGGTGAAAACATACCCTCCTGGCGGAGGTAACAAACAAAATTTTAATGAAAACATTTGTGAAAGTGATACTCAATCAGCCGAACAATCGTCACAAATCCATGGATTGGTTGGAACTTCAACATTTACACACTGGGCATGGTACTCGCTTATTAAACACTCGTTGTTTGAACATTTGAGAACTAATCGGCGAGTGACATTTCCGGTCTGTTCTCCGTCAATGGAAAAAGCTCCGGCCCCTTGCCCCGGTGAATGTATGCTGAACAAAAGATGTAAAATACCCCGATATGCGCGGACGTTTTCTTTGTCAAATCACAGGAAATTCCCCAGTAATGCCCCGCTGTGTCCCGGCCGGGGGGTTTACATTGACTGATGCATAATACACTTTACTCATATAACCATCTAGTAGTGGTAGGTAGGGGCTGGGGCGTGACCACAGTCAGACCTGTCAAGTTTTGAAAAATTTTATGCGGGAAGGATTTCCTTAGGTTAGTGTCCATGGGGCGCTCCCATAGTTGGTGCGCCCTGGGGGGAAATTTTGAAATTTTAGTTCCCCAGATCGCCAGAATATTACCTTTCTGAGGTTTTTCTTTCGCCTTTTTCGAAGCACAAACTTATGTGTGTTCATGCTATAAAAATATGAAATGTTAGCATCGCTTCTTCCCAAACGGCAAAAAATAGCGCTCCTCAGGCTCAGGAGTCTCCCAGCTTTTTGTCTCTTTTTGATATGCGATTGAGACACACATTTTCAAGACTTCTCAAGACTTCTGGGTACTGGCGTTGGCAAAAAGAATGCAAACGTTCTCCAAGCCAGTGCTCGAAGAAGTAAGGATGCCCAAGCGTGGGAACTATTTCGTTCAGCTCGCAACCGCCTCAAAGCATTAATTAAAACTGCTAAAAAGAAATTCACGCAAAAAATGCTTTCTTCTAAGAAACCCAAGGAAGTATGGAAAGTAATACATCGCATCTTGCACCCAGAGCCGCGTAGGATCACCATTCACCCTGACAAACTCAATTCTCATTTTACTTCAACGGCAGAACGTACAATCGGCACTGACGTCTATGATAACAACAGTTACGACACTATAAGAAACATGATCGATTCGCTTCCCCCAGACTACGACAATGGCTTCCATATAAATCCTGTCACACTGGGCGAAGTTGTAAATGAAATACGTTGTCTACGAGGAGACTGTTCCACAGGACCAGATCACATTCCAGCAAAAATGATCAAAATTGTGGCCGAATATTTGGGTTCTCCATTAACCGATATCATTAACACCTGTATCGCGAATCGAAGCTTTCCGTCCGCGTGGAAGATTGCGCGTATTTGCGCAATCCCAAAAGTTAAGCAAATCACCTCTGAAAATGACCTGCGGCCCATATCAATCTTGCCAGTACTGTCGAAAGTGTATGAACGCCTAATCTTTCGCCAGCTTTCCAAATTCATCGATGATAACAAATTACTGAGTAGCACCATCTCTGCATATCGAAAGGGCCAATCCACCACAACGGTCATGCAAGCCATACGAGATGACATCACAAAGCAATGAGTCGTGGAGAAGTCACGATGATGATCTTCGCTGATTTCTCGAAAGCTTTCGATACGATCCGTTTTAAAAATCTCATCTCGAAAATGAGCAAACTGGGCTTTTGCAAGGATTTTCTTACATGGACACTAAATTATGTCTCACATCGTAAACAGTACGTTCAGATTGATGATATTAGATCGAATACAACAAATGTTAATTTCGGCGTACCACAAGGATCGATATTGGGGCCGGTTTTATTTAATATATACGTTGCCGACCTTCAAGAAACTATCGATGCCAAAAGCCATCAATATGCTGACGACACAACAATCTATGAGCATGCCAAGGTCAAACATATTCATAGATGTAGAGAAACCATATCTGATTCAATGAAAAAACTCAACGACTGGTCAAATAATAGCAGCCTTGCCTTAAACCATAAGAAGACGAAAGCAATGCTTTTCTCAACTCAACAAATGTCAAGAGTCCACCAATTGGAAAATTATGAACCTAGAATATTTGTCAACGAACACGAACTAGAGCGCATAAAGTCATGCAAGTTGCTTGGCGTTCATTTCAACGAACACCTAAAATGGGACAACCATATCCGTCACATAAAATCTGCCTGCTACGCCACCTTGCAAATATTAAGGAAACTTAAACATCTAGCTTCTTATTACCTTAGAAAGCAGTTAGCTGAAACGCTAATATTATCCAAATTGGATTATGCTGATGGTGTTTTCTATCCACTCCCGCAGTTTCTATCGAGGCGCTTACAGAAAGTTCAATTTGCAACTGCTAGTTTTGTCTTGGGTCGATATGTTAAAGATCAAAAGGATATCCTGGAAGTTGGATGGCTTCCAGTTAACGAAAGAAGAGACCTCAACATCCTGAAATCGAGTTTCAAAGCCATGTACTTCCCAGAGTGACCAGAGTATCTAAAGCTAGAACGACAAACTTGCGTTCGAGAACTGCGCTCAACCAATGCAGTTAGACTAGTCGTGCCAAAAGAAACTGGAACGTTTCAACATAGTGCTGCGAAACTTTTTAATTCCTTACCTGAGAACATCAGGAATTGTACTAATTACAAAGTATTTTTAAAATTAACTAAAGAACTTTTATTCGAAAGAGCACGCCAAAACTAGTTTTTAATCCGAACATCGATTTTATCTAATTTCAACACATAAACGTTATAGTTCATAGTTATAGAATATAGTATTTAATTAGTATTTTAACAGGGAAGAGCCATATGTATGGATCTGTTGAATAAATCGTTATTATTATTATTATTATTATTATTATTGAACATTTGAACATTGTGCAATTAATGAAAAGAAATGGGAGTAATTGCCCCACAGGAAGAAACCTCGGCAAGTTAAGTTAAAAATGCAGGAAGAAAGTCACATGATGCGTGAAAGCAAACAAAAATGCGGGAATTTCACGGTAATTGCGGGAAACTTGGAAGGTCTGCACAGTGGGAATTGCTCCCCCCCCCCCTTTTGTCAGGGCCAATTTTTAAAACTTTTCAAAACTGAGCAGGGGCAGATCTAGCCTCATATGCAAGGAGGGTTACGCTCCTGAGTAGGTGGAGTGTCTAAGATGCATGTTGACGGCAGTGCTTTCAAAATCGCCTGCCTGACGTTCCGGGGCAACCAAAAATTTGTGTCGGGCAACTAAAATCTCTTGACTAATGTCCCGAAGGGCAACCACACTTTGGTGTTTTCACTGTTTTGATTGTTTTAAATTTTGTGTATTTAATGTCTTGTTGTTCCGTCATCAAGTGTTAATAAAGCTGCGTCAAAAGATAGCCATTTACCTTTTTGTATGATCAGATGTCAGAATACTGATTTGATATTTCAGTAAAATTGTCCAGAATATTTACTTGATTGTGAGTTTTTTGCAAGGAGTAAATAAGCGCCCACGCTGATTCACCTCAAAGATTATTACTGTAATTCGCAGAACATATTTAAATTATCGAGAACTGATTTAAATTATTTTATTCAAATGTTTTGAATGGTAAAAATTATGTTTATTAATTAATAACATTCACAAAACTGAGTAAAAATTTATGTAGAACAAAACAATTTTAACATTTTAACATTTAACAATTTTAACAAAAATCATTTGATTCCTTTGATCAGCATTAAGTCAGTCATTCTTTTATAACTAGTCTAAATGGCGAGGATTTGTTCCGGCAAAAACTCATTTAGAATAAAAAAACCAGACGCGCGATTTCATACTCTTGAAACAAACCAGGCGCACATTAAAAGGCGCGTCTCGTTAAAGGCGCCAGAGGTAAGAGTAACTTGTAACACAGTAGCAATTGTAACTTATTAACAGTTAAATAAACACCGGCTTTGTTGTGGTTCATTCAACTCCATTCTTTTATTTTTATCTAATTTAATGTGGGCAAGTGAGAAATTGCCTCGGGCAACCAAATTGTGAGTGTTGTCTGCCCCAAGGCCAAAATTCAGGACCCCGGATTAAGGTATACCATACCATAACTCCATTGTACAATAAGTTTTGAATTTCGAAACTGACCAGCAGTGGACTGAATAAAATTTTTTTCTATGCGATATATCTACTAAGCCCTGTTAACGAGGTCATTAAACAATTTAGGTAAGGTATTTGAGAAAGCTGGCGTGAACATCTCTGTTGTGTATGGCGACCTTCCTAAAGCTGCCATTCAACAAATGAAACAAAGAAACCAACTAAAAGGTTTGAAGGACAGCGATAAACTTCCGTTCTTTGCGACAGGTATAAGTTCCGTAGTTCACCCACGGAATCCGATGGTGCCAACAATTCACTACAATTACAGATATTTTGAAGTACAGGACCAGGATGGTAAGAAGTCATGGTGGTTTGGTGGTGGTACTGATCTCACACCATATTACCTTGACGAACAGGTACAGTACAGTATGTCCTTTATGTATTAGCATCCTATACATAAATCTGTAGAGAAATTTGATGGGAGGAGGACTGTAACTCGATATAAAATCCAAGTATCATACAAGAAGGTACATTTGTGAGATCATGAAAAGTCATGACTTTGATGTATTTTGCAAAATCTCACTCCACAAAATGCTTGAAATTGCATTTCAATGACACTAGATTTCAAAATTTTTTTGGGGGGTGGGAAGCATGCCCCAACTCAACAACCCCCCTAACCTCACTCCAGCATTGGTGTTTGCTTCTTCCCCCCCCCCCCTCCAAAAAAATAATAAGGTCCTGACTACACCACTGAATATATTTTTTGACAATCATTAAGAGGCAGCACTCTCCCCTTTACAAGTAAATCAATGGTGCATTGTCATTCAGTGGCAAAGGCTCTTTTATACTTGCAATTTTTGCTGCGATTTTGTTCTTCTGATGGATGTGAATGAGTGGATAAGTTATAATGTTCAGATGAGGGTACATGTACTCCAAACATTCATAACTCATCTACTCGTTCACATGCATCAGAAGGAGAAAGAGAAAATCGCACTAGAAATCGCAGCAAAAATTGCAAGTGTAAACAGGCCTTTAATAAACCACACTGCAAGATAACAAAGTCTAAAACATTGTACTAAAACTGTCTGTACCAGTGTTGGTAGTACCAATGTGCAAATGCTGTGCTGAGTGGTTATATTACTACCTTAAAAAATAAGCAGAAACTCGACGTTTTGAGCGAAGGCCCTTTGTCAAGAGTTAGTAGCCGAGTATTGTGTTTTTTGAGTATTGTGTTTTTTTGCCAATAGCAATGAAGTTTTATATCTGTAAGCCCAGATAATTTAGGTGCAAGCCATATGGTTAGCCATAACCAACAGTGGTGGACGTCCATTTTGCAAAGTATTCTTGGTGGGATTTTGCTCAAATCAAACTTAAAACTAATTTGCATAAATAATTTAATATGCAAATTCTAATCCACGCTTTAGTACACATACTGATGGTTCTGTTAGGTATATCCAATCAGAAACTCTTGTACGAACCAAAGGTCGTGCCCTTTTGTCACAAGACTCGGAATATTTCATTTTCAAAGTAAAGTTTTGCCCGGACAAGACGCTCTACATACGTGGCAATAAAACGACTTTACAAGGAAGTACGTCTGTTGTTTGAAACGATTCTTTCAGTTAAACATTTCAATGATATACTAATATAATCGACGAGAATTGAAACTGTTTATATACTTATATCTATATGGCTGTTTATACGACGAGGTTTTTACTACAAACTGGCTGAATAGGTATTAATAGGAACATAATTTGCTTTATTTTAAAACGAAAGTAAATATGGCATCAAATTATCAACTTGGATACGATGACGAAAGATTCGAGTCGATAGTAGATCAAAATTTCCACTGTTTGATTTGCTATAACGTATTGAAAGACCCCGTGATGTGCCGCAGAAACGAGCATTATTTTTGCCGTGGCTGCATCACGGAACATCTTCGTACGAATTCCCATACATGCCCAACGTGTGCTGACGAGCTGAGTGTCGAAACATTGCAAGACGTTCCAAGAATTGTGAAGAATTACTTAAATGAACGAAAGATTCGTTGCGATCATTACGACAGAGGATGTCGAGAACTCGTACAGCTGCAGAATTTAAAGCGACATGTCGCCAAATGCGGGTTTACTCCAGTCGTTTGTGGAAATCAAGGTTGTGGTGAGACAATCAGTAAAAGAGATCGTACATATCACGAGAGTGAACTGTGTCAATTTAGAAAGTTGAAGTGTCACAACTGTGGAGAAATCAGCACGATGATCGCGGACATGCAAACGGAAATCGCAAACCAGAACACGAAAATCAACACGGAAATGGCACACTCGAGCACGAAACTGAAAAACATGGACACGAAAGTAGCAAACATCGACACCAAACTGGAAAACATGAACACGAAACAGGAAAATATGAACACGAAACTGGAAAATATGAACACAAGAATGGCCAACACCGACACGAAACAGGAAAACATGAACAGGAAAATGGCAAACTTGCAAGCGAACGTGGAAGCAAAGATCGAAGCGATGAATATTGACGTGAGAGGAATGAAAATGAGTTTAAATGAAGTAAAAGATGGT